TGAAAATCCTCAAGGTTTAGGGTTTGGGCTTTCGCGAGTTGTCCGCCTCTGGGTCGGCGGACTGAGCCGGAGGCTCTTAAGTTGTTTTTCGATGTTTGGGGCATCGCTTTTGCTTGCTGGCTCCGCACGACCTCATGGGTTCGCACAGATGTGGCAGGATTTTGTGAGAATTCGTAGATGTTTATTCTCCAATTTCTGCTTAAACTTCAGCAATAGCTCTGAGATTACATCATGAACCGATAAACGAAAACCGTACCATTAACACCTGTGCAGTTTAAGGCACCAAAAGTTGACCCCGACAGTCGCAAACATCGTGGGCGGCTTACTCACAATCGCAAGAACATGAGGAATGAAAAGAACGAAACAGGAAGTAAGAGAAATGTAGACAAGACAGAATACTAAGAAGGAAGAAGACTAGCCACGTTGGTGATGATAATGGAACGTAGTAGAAATTAAACAGAAGCTTGTATACATGGCAATTTTCGCGGCAGCAATCGGGGGAATGAAGTTACCATGGTAATAACACATGACATCTTTAACAGTAAAAATGGAGGAGCAATCATCCCAGGAAGAACAATGGTAAGTGATACTGTTACGAAGAATCTTGGGCACAGCTTAATCTTGACAGTGCACGGAAAATCCTAGAACCATCAAGACTAAAAGTATCATTTACATAGCACAGGAGTAATTAGTCATGACAACATCAACAATAGCACTTGCAAAGCCAAGCCGCCCACCCTTCAAAAGCGACGCAAGCACATAAGCGTTCAGCGAGCATGAATTGCGTCAGTTAGAACTTTGAAGCAGGACGTTGCCAGGTATGTCAATCAGAATCACCGTCACCTTTTGAAGCGTATGATGGGGCCCCCAGGTCATTTCAGCTGAAAGGCCAGGCATCTGATGCTTGCGGCTCATTTCGCCCAATCAGTGCAGAATTTGAGTTGTTGAAGATCCTGCGACTGCATGACGTGGCCTTTGTACTGTGGAGCTTATGACCTCATCGCAGCCCCCCATGTTGCATTGGCAACCAGACAGCCAACATTTTCGGTTTACAAGCTAACCTGCTCGCTGCAACAACCGCCCGGGCCAATTCATGGTGGGTATGAGAACTTGCGCCGACAGGAAAAGACTGAAAGCTTAGAAGCACGGTGCAAACTGGCGCGAACGGCCTCCGGGTGCCCAAGAACGGCCAACGTGCCCAGAAAGCTTCTGTCTGGTGTCCCAAACAGCCTCCACGGCCCCCGAAACCGCATCACAACAGACCCCTTGTCATGCTACCCCGCAAAACCCTCCTGCCATGGGGTCTGGCCAGCGGAAAATGGCAAAATTTGACAATTTCAGTGGGTTTCCACTCCCCCAAACCCCCTTAGTACAGATCCAGCTTTGCTTTGGGAAAGCTTTCGCAACAAAAGCGTAACCAGTAACACAAGCAAAACATAAGTGCTAATGGCCCTGTCGTACTTGTTTTCGTAGCAATAGAGTAAGCAATACGGCCGTCTAAATATTTGAAGAACAACGATCCTAAGATTACCAGGGATACAACCAATTTTGGTCACATCAATAGAGATGCACCTGGTGAGAAATATGCCTTCATCCAACTTGTATTAAGACTTACATGAAAGGCAACGTGCAGAGAGCAACCATGGAAGATAAAACGCCGAACGCGTGAGGCAGAAAGGCAGAACCCGAAGAAACAAAAACAGCCGGCCAACAAATCGTGGTTAGAACAACCGTGTTGTTTACTCCTTGGCTCATATCCCGGCAGGAAGCCTTCTGAACAGCGCGCGGTCATCACTTTGACCTGTCACATGTAACTGGCATTGCGACAGGCGCCAACCAGAACAGCACCTTGTCTTCGTCTCTGTACTGATATGTACACTGGCCTCTGCAGTGATCTTCACTGTGACGTCAGAGGATGTGGCGTTGGCCAGTAACCTCTTTGCTAAATTAAAAGCTGAGAACAGGGCACCTATGCCAAACCCAATACAGGCCCACACAGTAGGACAGCACCTTCACCAGTCACCTGTCCACATTCTAGAGTCGCGCGTTGCAAATCAGAGTCTGGAACTGCCTGAAATAAGCTCAGACCTGTTGACAGAGGCCTCGCCAGCCTAGACAGACATGTGCAAATCTTTGAGAGCCAAAGGCCACCTGCAGCCAGGCCTTCTGAAGCGTCGGCCTGGTACTGACTTCAGAGTCAAGCACCTGAGGCGTGAGAGACCCAGTGGTACCCCAAGCTTCGCTTTCGATGCCGGGAGCCCTGCGCGGCGTGCAGGCCGGTCCTTCAGTCTCAGGTCAAGCAGCGCTGGCCAGATACGCCCCACTTACGGTGCAGGCAAGGTCTCAGTGAATTCCCTCGACCTACTTGGACCTACTTGAATCTGAGAGCTGGGCAGCGCAGCTGCAGCTAGCTGTGGCCTCTTCTCCGGCTCAAGAGCTTTCACGCCTGGCGCAAGTCACATATGCAGTGCAGTTCCTGTGGAAGCCCTGAACTGATGCAGATTTTAGAGCCATGTGATCGCAGTGTTCATGTCTTGCAGGTGCTTCACTGCTTCAAGCTTGTAGTAGCACAACAACACTGAGCCGGAGCAAGAAAGTTGGTCAGTAATCTTGCCTGGACAGTAGATTGCTGGCCTCCCTGCTTTGGACTATATCCATCCGAGTCTGGGTTGCGGAGCGGGTGTCACTGTTTAGGTCTGCAGTTGCTCAGTTTCTGTTGTTGCTGCTTGGTCTTGGTTTGTAGGCGTATTCAGTTTGCAGTACCACGGCTTGCCTTGTCCTCGGGTGCTCCCAGGACATGTCAAGCTTAGGGCTGCAAAGCCTTGCACCACTTGGAGGTGTGGTAGGCTACGTAGGTTTAGGATCGTGCTGTACGGGTTCTTTTCCATCCTGGCCGTGCTAGCCGCCCAGTGTTGTTGTATGAGCCTGGCTGTAACCGCGACCTGTGTTTCGGCCACCCAACTGAGTTATGGTTTGTTTCGTAGCTGAGTCAGGAAGAGGTTCCTGTGAGGAGGTGGGCTCCAATCCTTTTCCTTGATCTCTTCTACTCCTTCTGTTGGAATCAGTCACCGTTGTCAGGCTTTTCCCTTGACCGGTTCCTTGAAGGCTCAGCTGTAGGGTTTGGTTGTGCCTGTAATGCAAAGGAACTTTTGGAATCGGCCTGCTTAGGCTGGCCTTGGTGCAGGTTTGGGGTGGTTGTGTTGGTTGCCGTACCGGGCGCCGTGTCCTGCGCCCAGCCTGTGTTGGTCCAAGGCCAAGTGTGGCTCCCCTCACTTGCTTGGTGCTTGTTGGTGGGAAGCGCGGGCCCAGCGCAAGTTGAGGTGCAGTACAAAAGCTGCTTTCTTGTTGTTTAGTCAAGGAATCGGTTGCCTTTCCTGTGAGTCTGCTTGTGAGCCAGGGGCTACTGTTAGGGGATCGATGTCCATTCCCTGTACATGGCACCGCTGCCCGCTTAAATTGGTAGCGCCCTGTTGAACAGGCCCTGGCCTAGCCTCGAGCCGCTGAAAAATGTCTGCTGAATTAAATGCAAGGCAAAGATCCGACGGGATGCTGAGCTTCCAGAAGAAACTCTCTACATCCCAGCATTTAGCCTTCCTGCAAGCTGCCCTGCCCTGCTGTACTTCCTCCTACATTCAAAAGACACTGCTCATAAGCCGTGAAAGCTGCCTGACTGTGCATAAGCTGTTAAACGATGGCTGAGGGCTCGCAATGAGGGAAAGAGCGGAGCGTGGAGCTTTATCTTAGCTGGAAAAGTTACATCAAGTTAGATCATGATTTTGACTTGCGATGTTTCCTGCACCAGCAAGACATGAGAGGGATGCCTTCTCAGGCACCTTCCGTTTGCGTGCCCTTCTTGATTCCCTTTCCCAGTCCAAGCCCCAAGTGCAAACCCAAGCCGAGACAACCATCACTAATCATCTATAGTCCGCTATCAGGGTGTAGAGGCGGCAAGATGCTTGGAGGTAGCTGCAGGCCCTGAATCTGATGTACCCATAGCAAAAGGCCAGCAAGGGGGGGGGGGAGTACAAACCCTTTGTTGTCAAGCTTGGTTTCCTCATTGAAATCTTATCGTAAAACTTCCTCTTCAGGGACAGATCCAAGAGGTTCAGCACACACTACCAAAGTGAACTGTAGCATCGGGTTGGTAGTGGCGAGTGTTACGAGCGGGCGGGTTAAGTTGCATCACTTACAGGCTTGGTGTGGGTGATGGGCTGCCCAGGGGTCTCAAGTGCTCAAACGCGTTCTCGGTAGGTTAGTGGTAGCGCTATTGGTTAAACTCGTCACCTGGTACTGACATGACAGTCCCAAGCTGGTATTTCAAACCGATATATCCTGGCCGAGGGAAAGATAGATTTCGTCAGTCATGATATGTATATACAAATGGACACCCCGTGAGAGATGAAAAAGTTTGCAAGGGAGCATGCAACCAAAAAGGAACGGTTTCTCTATGAGTCCAGGACATCTGTTTGTAGAACATGCACAGTCCAATCATGAAGCTAATTGCAGGATCTGTATATGAAATGCGCTTGTTTCCGATATTTACAGTGAAATCACAATCGAAGAAAAAACGTTTCCCAGGCAGGTATCATCAAAGCTTCGAGCAAAATAGTTGAAAGGAATGGGAATGCGGATGGCATGGGGGTCTCCTTCTTCAGCGAATCAGATGATCCCTGAAAGGTAGGAATTCTCATGCAATCCCATTGTGCATGATAGGAAGCATAAAAGGGACTCTTATCCCATTTTATGCCTAGAGGATACAAGAGGAACTTAATACAGATGAAGGCCAGTGGAGCAAGCTCCATGCAAATGGCAACTCTGGGGAAGCAATCCCAGCAAAAGAAAGACCGTCTTCTGAGCGATAGTCTTTAGAAGACATATGCAGATCCATGACGCCGGCCACGCATGTCTCTACACGCATGTGACCTTTCTGGATGTATAAGTCAACAAACGTACGAGGCATGTGTGGCACGATTATTGAAACCTATAGTCTTACCACTCGCTACAAATGAACCAGGTTTCTGTCTGAAATTGCTGTAAAATCCTTAAACCAAAATTGTGTTGCGTGAGAAAATGGGCCCACACGGCGTAACGCACTCTTTTCCTCTCTTTTTCGGTGAAGGCTTCTTTTTCAATGGGACAACAACTTCAGGGACCTTCCAAGACTAAACCAGGAGGCGCGAGGTTATTTTACCACCTGGTGTCACGTGGGCAGGCCTAGTGGCTGCGACGAGAAGAGCCGCATCTTGAACGGAGCGGAAGTCCGCGCCTGCAGTTCAAGAGCTTTATACTCACATCACCTTTGTCAAGAAGGCCTTTGTCCAGAAGCGGCTCGCACTGCTTGTGGGAAACAGCAGTAAGCATGCTTCCCAATAGGGCGCGCCTCTCCCCCATGGGCAACAGGTCCTGCACCGAAGGAGAAGGCGACCAGCCTGAGGAGCTGGGCTGTAAAGCAATGATGCCGGGCCAAATAAGGATCATGGAAAAGAACATGGAAACTACTAGATTTTAAGGGAGCATATATATAATCATCAGCAGACAGGGAATTAACCAAGGATCAGGCAAGTATCGCTGACCGCTCTCCAAGCGAGCCTGAAGCCAAAGCTTTGTCAAAAACGAGTGGGGGCACTGAAAGTCTGGCAGACACGCACGTATCTCGGCTGCGGTAGGATCACTGTCAAAGCGTATCCACTGGTCAGAGCGCATTGTACCTTGCTGACGAGGAGCCTCCACGCATCGTCTTGCCATGATGTCAGCACAGAAGAAATTGCCTCCAACCACCTGTCCCGAATCTACCAAGGTCCACAGAACTCTCTCACTTCCTGGTTCAGGCCTGTGAGAACTGCTGGTCCGTGCCTTTGATAGAAGCAGCCGCAGCTTGCGAGGTTTTGCGCACAAATCGTCATACTGCGGCTACGCGTGTGCAGCCGCAAGGAAAGCGCAGCCTTTTGTCCACGGGAGTGTGGAGGCAGCATCATGCACCATCCTGCAAGGCCTATTTGGGGATCTGTAGCCCTGAGGGCACAGCATGGCAACTGCTCTGGGTTGGTGCTGGTCGCCATGCAGTGTCAGCATTAATCGCAGGCTATTGTCATGCGATCAAAAGTCCAAGCTATAACATGGCCAGACATCGATGTTGAATTCAATGGCTGTATATGACACGTCACACCCGATTCTCAGCTGTTCGGAGAGAAAGGGGATGATCGTGCAGGTGCAGGCACTTGCAGGCCAAGCAAAACTGACGACACTCAATTTGTCTCCGACTCTTGCATGACAATTGCGTCTTCTGCCGCAAAATCCTTCCCGGCAAAGCAGTAGTCAAAGACGCATGCATCGCGCACGAATTGGCCTTTGCTCAACTTGCAGCAGAAGCTTTGCATGAAGTGTCATACTTGGCGCTGCAATTGGATTGCTGAGCAAGCGGCTACGCCTGCTGTTGCCAGGAAGTGATCCACACATCTCCTCTGCTTTCAGTCGCACCTTCCAAAACAATGATGGGCAGAGACCAGCTACAGTGGACTGCAACTTGCACGCAGTGATCCCGCAGAAACATGTGTCACTACTCTTGTGCACATGCATCCACTGCCTGCGAATCGCAGTCTTCTATTGACTTCTCCGAAAACGCTTGAACAGCAGCTCCTTAATTTGTGTGAATGTGCCCTGTGACGTTGCCATCTCATCACACTGCAAGTCCGAGGTGCCAGGTGTTGGGAAAAGCGACTCCTCTTCGGACACTGGGCCCCCACTCCTCTCCAGGATCAGCTCCTGGCAGCAGCGATGCATTTGGAAGCAGAGTCTGAGCAAGATTAAGCCTCAGGCCTTTGTGTCGTCACTGGGATCGAAGTTGAAGTTCCCGCAGTGCCCGTCCTCTGGCGGAGCAGAAAGATGCTGGACGGAAGCCAGTCTTCTACAAGGTATACTAATTCTGAGCCCATTAGAGAGTTTAACCCGGCAAGTGCTCTGCCTGACCGTAGAGCTGCTGGGGCATGCGAATGACAGCATCGATGTGCTCCGGCCAGCGGTTCACCAGAATTTCCACATTCCGGACGAAGAATGCCCGGATCAGCTTCACTGGATAACCGATCAAGACTTGGTCAATGTGGTCGTCGCCATCAAGGTACTTGATTCGGCTAAATGGCTTGACAAACTCAGACGGAATCTGCTTCAAGATGGCATCGCCATCCCACGTAACCTGACCATTAGTGGGCTGCACGATCAGAGTCTCGTTGCGCACGAAGGGACCACTGACTGCCAGCTCAATCAGCGCAGACTGGCCCGCGACGGTGAACTTGGTTGTGCCATAACGGCCTGTATCATCGAGTCTGGAGTCAAGCATATTTCTGGCCTGATTTGTCCAACATCCGCCCTCCCTCCTCCTCCCTCCTCCCTCCCCGTCCTCCTCCCTCCTTTCCCTTCGCCCTCCCTGCTTCCCTGCCTGAGCCTGCTTTCACAGAGAAACCTAGGGAGGGAAAGGTGGAGATGAAGAAGGAGAGAACGATGCAGGGAGGTGGAGCGGGAGAATCAACATCACGCTCCGGCATGATTTTCATGCTCACTTAGTTGGCAGGTTTGCCTGGAATGCCTGCTGGGCAGTACACCATATGATCTGCTCCTGCAAGCATCTTAGGAACTGGTGCCCGCGTGCGAGCGTCATGGAAATCATTACTAGAGTTGCATATGTGTTTTGGTACATTATTCATTGGATCGCGCCGCGAGCGCTCCTGAACATGGACGCGCTTGGGATATACAATATGGAGTGCGATACCTTCAAACCGCTGGCTACGTCTGAAGAGCACCTTTTTCAAACTGGACGCAGATGGAATTTAGCGGCTCAACCGGGGGCAAGTATTGGCAGGCGCGAGCTGAGCATATGATTGAATGCCAACATGGATTGGGAAAATCTGAGTTCATCCTCTCTCGGGTTTTCTTTCAGCATGATCAGTACAGTATCTAAACGCTGCCTTGGATGGAGATGTCTGGGTTCTTCACCAGCCAGTAGTCGCCACTGGTCAGGATGTTAATTGGTGGCTCTGGCTCGGCTCCAAACAAGCCACTGTCGAAGATGGAGATGTGTGGATCACCCCAGATTGTGCACTCACCCTTGACTGGGACAATGCTCGTCTCCACGCGGAACTCAGAACCACAACACCGTCGCTCGGCAAAGAAGAAGCTCAATGACACCGCAGCCCCCTGGAGAGATTCACCGGAGGCAGAGTATACATGGCATTTAGAAATCGCAGATATGGATTGCGCAACGCAGAAGCATAGAATTTGGCAGCCTGCCTCAGTTAGGTTCAGGCTGTCCACGTCAAAGGTCTTCTCCATGGGGTTGTGCACGCCGCCCAGATCAATCACAAGACGATCGTTCCTTGAAAACGCATGTGCTTAGCATGTCCAATGTCTCATGGTCACTGCCACTGGTCATGTCCAGAAAATAGCTGGGGCACATAAAGACCCAAACATCATCATCTCCGCGAAACGTGAACTGATCGCCACCTAAGGAGCAAACAGTACGCCAACATACGCCAAGCATTGCTATCAAAGTTTGGCAGGTCCCTGGCTCTTATACACGAAGGTAGTATGGAGCTCGAGGGTGAAATAAAAGTTGTGCTCCAGGCCATCCAGTGCAACAGCCGTGTCCTTCCGAGAAAGCAGTGCAAATTTCAAGCACAAGGCAGATGCAGAAGCAACCCTCAACCGGAGCCGCCGAGGTCGGGAGGCCTGGACTAAACCCATCCACCAATCCCAGAGAGTCTCAGGGGTCAGCTCTGGCCCCAAGCACTTTGAAACCCTAACAGAGCTCCTTCCATCCCTTGCCATCCGCTGGGAAGAAGTTCGGATTATCATGCACATAAGTTCCCGTCTCGGTCTTGTTCAAGTCCATTTTGAAATTGATCCGCCTATTCACCCCAGGTACATCGCGGAACCATTGGTCGAAATTCGTCTTGTTGGAAAGCTGGTCTCCACCTTTGTAGACTGGCTTCTTGTCAGGGCCCAGGGTTGATTCCACCAAGCCTGCGCAGGGAAGGTTGCTGCCAGGCTTCTGAGCTGCAATCGCAAAAACACCACAAACAAAAGCGACCACAGCCTTCACTGTGCCCGTCCATCGACCTTAATTGCAAAACCATAAGAAGCCGGCAGATCCCGGCATACCGTTATGCGGCGAACCCTGTTGTACGCGCTGGTTCAAACCAGCCGTGAGAGCCTGAACGAAGATAAAGCATGATAAACCAAGTACGGCAAGGGTATTGGAGCTTAGCAGCTGGAAGTCCGGGTGGTCTTCCTTGAAATCTCGGATCACCGCGTCGAAGAAGATCGTGTCGGGGAATTCTAGGCCCTCTGTAGGCGGGCTGGTTGTTGCCGCCTGCAACCAGTACAGATGTGGACTTCTTCATGTTCAAGTCGGCACTGAGTCATGATGCCTGGGCCACCTTCCCCATTGCGCTTGCCCGGTTCAGCGCGGCGCGACCATGTTGCAGCAGGATGTGGTCATGGCAGACGCCGCTCCGACAAGTTTCAGCCAGAGTCCTGTTTTCAAATGACAATGCATTCCGAATCCCATGTCTGCAACGATGACTTAGGACGTAGCTTCCCTGTGTATGTATGCCAGACATCTGCCAGCAAGTGCTCCTAGGGGCGAGAAGCACAACCAACAACCTTGGCCGGCCATGACATCAAGATACATGAAGCTCTATGGTCCAATAGAAATCTGCTGAATTTGTTAACTAGCTTTGGCTTGAGGCAAGCCTGTGCCGCTCATGCAAGCGAGTGGCCGAAGCATCGCGTCAGGGCTGCTATGCCACGGACCAGCCAAGCTTGGGCAGCTGGGCCAACTCTGCTGCAGGATGTAGGTACCATGTTGCACAATGTTCTGTCAGAAGATGATCCACAGCCCAAGGGACACTCATGTCGAACGATGAAACTGAGGTCTTTGCCAATTCGTAGCACGAGCAAGCTGATGTCACCTTGCCGAGGACATACACCTTTGATGTCAACTGATGATGAAAACTCATCTCCTGACACCACTCAAATCCTCACACCCCCCAAATCTTCGGAATGATCCTGCTATTGTAGAGTAGACGAACGAAGCCTTGCCGCGCTAGATGATTTGTTCTTTAGCAGCACACCCAAAAGGCCAACTGCAAGCTTGCGCGCTTGGATCAGGGCTGCATGCAGTATCATGCCAATTAGATCTAACTAGGAAACATGAGTAGCCGCACATAGCCGCACGCTCCACTAACAACTTCTCGCCTGGGAATCCTGTTGCCGAGTGATTTGGGCGTCAAGGCAAGCGTGTCTCTCCCTATTTCATGAGCTGAAGATTTTTTCGCAACGTCAGTCTTGTTGGAGAATGCCCGCCTGGTTTGTAGCTCTTCTTGCGATCTTCCCGGCACCAGGAGCCTGCCACATACCAGAACCACAGGGAGCCTGCCTTCTTCCGTTCTTCTCTTTCCATTCCAGTAGGAACACAGCCATGTTCTCCACATACATCCGAACAAAAATCTTGTCAATCTCACGGGAACGAGCAAGCCTCGCTTCGTCGGCTGCAGGGCCATGGCGTAAAGGGTTGCAGCCGTGTCACAGCGCAGCTCGTAGAAGTACTGGCAGGACCAAGCTCTGTAATGGAATGCAATGCATTGACAGAAGTCAATTTTGGCACCTCTCCAGTTGCATGTCTGGGTTGTTGTTGGCAAGGATCGGCCGGGAGCTCTCAAAGATATTCTCGTAGAGGAACCGAAAAGGATTCCCCCCCTTTAGAAAAATCACAACATAGAGGGACCCAAAAGGCTGCCCCAACTTCGAAACAAAAGAACACACACACACACACACACACACACCATCCTCCTTCCCCACACACAGCCTCACCCCCCGTCTTGCCTGCAGTCAATCCAAAAAAAGACTTAATTCAACACCACAAAACTATAAGAGTATATCTCCATGACTCTCCGTCTGTCCTTGCATATCCGGCTTCCGGAGGACTTCGCGCAAAAGGCGTTGGGAAAGCTGGCGGCGTGCCATCCACGATGGGCCAAACCTTGGAATTGGATTGAGTGAACGGAATGATGGAACTGCAACTTAGAGCCGGGAGCAAGCCCAAATATTTCCAGAATCCTTCCGCTCCTGGTTCATGCTTTTCACTTTTGCTGCATTTTGCAGCAGATGTGTGGGCTCAATTGCCTCGCAGTATTGAACACATGGGGTCCCGGTACGATAACATGTGTTGCATGCGCAATTTGGCAGTCACACGTAGGGCACCGGCTACCTTCATCATGATCCTTGAAGTTGGTGTCAGATCTTATCACCACAAGTTACTTGTTTATAGTCTATAGTACAAGTACGTTGTAGCCGTCTGCATTGTCTACATCAGGTTGACAGTCCAGGACTACATGTTCGTTACTGTTGCCCTTTCCGAAAGATTCGAAGATCCCTTCAATTAAAGGCAGGGGTCCGTGCAGGGCTATCCGAAAACTGAGATTTCGGCATACATCCACAACCTTGTCACAGGCGGACACTGCAATCGGCATTAGGCCTTGGCCGCCCATGCGGCGGCCCACCATCTAGAAAACCTTAACCCCACAAAGCCTGCCGGCCTGGAATCCCATGAGGAAGTGCGTATAATCCATCCAGAATGTGCCATCATCAACCTGAGGGTTTGTGGATTCAAAGATCAGTGCAATGCCTCCACAAAGTCTTCGCCAGGGCTCAGGCACCAGTGCATCCGAGTGCACCTGGCTGATGGTGGCATTGGATGTGCGCTGCAAGCTATTCCATCTTAGCGTGAATCGGTCGAGCTGCTGGAGAGGCTGTCAGTCCATTCAGTGGATCTGTCACCTCTGCTCAAAGGCAGTTCTGCTGCTGCGGTTCAAACTTTGAGGCCGCAACTCCACTCACCATTCCACTCACCTTTGCCCGTCAAGCAAGGGAATCGAAACATCAGACCGGCCTTCTTCAACATCTGGACAGGAAACAGCTAAGTCACGGGCCCATACCGTGCGGATTTCGTATGCGAAGGAGGCGCACCAGCCCATCCTGATGCCAGCTTGTCAGTACAAGACCAGTATTCCACATCTTGGCTCCTGCCCTTTCTATGAGACCAGGTCCTAGCATGCAAATGCTGACACATGATACACGGAATCCCAAGGTTCAAGTGTAAAGAGACGGCAACTATCTCGAACACTTCACACGCAGGGCTCTACCTGTGAGCAAGCTATTAGTCCAACAGCCCTTGACAAACATACATCGAAGATTGACAGGACAGCACCTATGTCCTATGTAGGATGTTTGCATCCCCATGCTGCCTCACAGCAGCACTGCTTATGACAAACAAGCTTTAGAAGCCCGATGATTTTCAACCTTCAAGTCCTTCAAGCATCAGTTGATCCAACCTCTTTATGGTCCAAAAAGATCTAAACAACATCCCATCCTTTTCTCCAGTCGGGCAGCAGTCCACGAATGGCATCTTGGGTCTGTACAGTGCTGCAAGAAATATGCAGTGAACGGAGGCTTCCCCGAAAACGTCCTAGTGCAAAACATAGGATCTACAATGCCATTTGGCAGCTGTAGAAATCTGCTTACTATTTTTCACTTCACGTAGCCTGCTCAACGGATTTCGACCACCAGGCCACGCCAAAAGCAAATGAGCGGCTCTGGACTCTCAACCAGCAGCTCTGGCACTAAGCAGCCAGACATCTCTTCCCACGACCTGACAACCAGCACAGCATCCACAAGCGTTTTTTCACAAGCTGGCTGGTGCGATCCAATGTTACAAACCAAGATGCCGTTCCTCAATGTTTTTCCTCGTCCAACCTGAAACTACAGTCATGCTTATTCTGGAAACTTGCTTTAGCATTCAAAATCTGATACAACGGATCACAGCATTCAGTCAACCGCGGTCTGTAGGACGACTGTTTCTTAGGCACGTGCATGCTGCCAGCTGTTGTTGGCACTTGCAACACCTGTTGCAAGAGCTCTGCATGACGCAGCATGAGGGAAATTCCATACTGGGCCGTTTACATGCAAGGCATGACATGCTGGCAGACAGCGGCCTTGACGAAGTTCTTCAATGTTCGCCGGATCTCGTGACATGCTATCTGGATTCTGCGGTTTTCTCTCTGCAACATGATGATGTCCAACGCGCTGGCTTGTCCTGCAGCTGTGAAACAAGCATGAGCCATTCACGCTGCCATCATCACACAACACGAACAAGGGATGTATCGGCCTTTAAGATGCAGGATGCCCTTGCAGAACTCATCAATAGTGATTATACCATCTCCATCATCAAGAATCTCAAAAAGTGGGTCGATATCATGGATGTTCACCTCCAACAGGCTCAAGTAGCTTTGGACTTTTCCCAGGCCCAAAGTGGAAAAGAATTCTTCTGGAGTAAGATTGCCGTCTCCGTCTTTGTCGGCAGCATAGAACACTTCACGGAGTTTTTCTTTGTATATTCTTGTTCTCCTGGACTTCTCTTTCAGCGCCACGGCCGCATCATCATCGGCACATGTTAGAGTCTCTTTGAGGAAAAGGGCCGTGACAATGCGGATGACGGCGAAAATCACCAAGGTCACATATATCAGAAAGGGAATCACAAATCCCCAGCTAATCTTCTCCAGCACTGGTCTTACCAAAAGTGGCCAGCCACCGCTGTGAGTGATCTCAAACCTGAGCCCACCCGTTTTCAGAAACACTACGAAAAAACTGATGCACCAGACTTTCCAATGCTACCAGCAGCAGCTGCACCACCACCACCACTACTATGACCCGGGCCCCAACTATCATTTGCGGCGTCAACAGCAACAACCAAGGCGGCAGCACCAACATATTCGCGTTCAAACGATCGCGCGAATCCAGTCGCACTTTCGCAGGCAAGTGAACGTGTCAAACGAACAATGTATGTCATGCAATGAATCGGGCGGCAGCGTACATGAGGCTGAAAGGATGACAGCCGCGTCCAAATTGGCAGGCGGCAGTTGGTGCAGGTGTTACTCTTTTCCCAACATCTTTGTCTGAAGATGCACTCAAAGGCCCTGCTGGGACTGGCCCGGACCTTCAGCTTTTGACAGGCATGCTCACCTCACTTTTCACCTTCTGCGTTCCGGCAACTGTTGTTTGCAGCTAGGAGAAGAGCTGACACCTACCTTTAGGCCAAGAGCTCCTCCACAACCACGATGTAAATCACAGGCAATGACGGAGGTAGCTTCCAAAGGAGATTCACCAGCCGCAGGGAGTGGAGGGCAGGAGCTTAAGCGAGGTGACAGTTGCGGCTCCATGCCTATCGTTCAGGCATGCTCACCTCACTTTTCACCTTCTGCGTTCCGGCAATTTTTGTTGTCAGCTAGGAGAAGAGCTGACACCT